AGTGCATTATTTATACATTTTTTTTTTCATTATTAAAATAGATAGTCGTTTCATTAAAAATGTAACATAATATAATAAAGAAATTTTGACAACACACAATAGTAAAAAAATAATTCACTAATATACATGTATGTTTTTTTTTTCAGGTAAGGAAACATTAACTAATCACAGATATAATTTATGGATGGGATGTAAGGTATGTTTGCTATGCAACCTTAACAACAAACTGCATGATATCATTATATACTATTAATATATACACAATAGTAAGGCATTATTTATAGCATAATTTCAGTCTATTTTTAAATAAGTTGATATTTATGTTCATCTGATTCCAACCATAATTATTGGTTAATATAATTCAATAAATTTTTATGTAATAGTGTAATTACTACATATTTTGGTCCCCCTATACGAAGGTTATGTGTTTATTTCGTGATATTCCGTGTGTGTTTTGAAATAATTTAAGCTAAAAATGCTGTCAAATTACTTTTGATGTATATAATGTGTCTTTAATTAATCCTCTAAAAGGTACTTAAAGATTTTTTGAACGGGATGAGATGATCGATTTTTAACTTTGTTCTCTGTTATTATGTAATTAAATCCCGTAAATGTTTAGAAAAAATTTGAGCTCAAAACATTTTTTAAACAATTAATTAAAGTTTAAGTATCTTCATTAAAAATTTATTTGAAATTATATTAATTTAAATATTCATAGATGCCAATTTTATGTTATGTTATTAGCTATATGTTATGTGAAACATACTGTATATAACTGTAAAGCTAATCCTTATGTAATCCATGATACATACATATCTACAGTATCTTCAAGAAAGCAATCGAGCGACAAACACTTCTTAGTATATGCTTAGTTAAAGATTCGCATTAAGTCATAAATTGGTTATGTCTTAACTTCCAACGCTTAGTCATTCCGTTTTCGAGAATTATGATCGATGATTGCCGATATTGATATCTGCTATCTGAGTGATTCTTCGAAAAGTGACCTTTTCTCATCCCAAGCTATTATGGTGACTTTGAAAAAATTATAAATATAATACTTCACCAGTGTTCCTCCGGTATAATGGATGGATATAAGATCACAAGATTGCACCAAAATTTCTTACCGATATCGAATCAAAAATATCACCAAAATCGATATTAAAATTAATTTTTTGAGGTACTTAGCAACTATATTATCATCGATTTTTTACAAACAGACATAAAACCTAAAATCACTAAGAACTTTGATTATTTTTTCAATTTTTTTTTTATTATTTTTTAATGATATTTAGAACTGTATTAAAGAAATACATTTAGTAAATTTGAACATATAGATATAATGACGTGAAAACACTTGTAGACAAATTACCCAACGGTAGCAATCTAATGATATGTGTACATTAGGAGATCACGGGGCTATCTTCTTTTCAGACTCCTTGGAGGGTTATCAGGAATTCAAGAGGAAGCAAGGATAGAAACGAAAAGGTAGGGATGATTGTGGAGTTTATTATGAAAGGATAGATATCTGGATTGGGCCAGATCTGAAACAAAAGAAACATTAATTTCATTATGGATGGTTTTATTTGTAACAAAGTAGGGAGTATTGAGGATTTTACGAAGGATTTTGGATTGTAAGGATTGGATACGAGAGGAGTTCGATGGTTCAGTGGAGCCTCATAGATGAACTCCGTAAGTCCAAACAGGCCTTATTATAGTCATATATATGAGTCTTTTGTAATTAATTGGAAGGTTAGAGCGTTTGTCTAGTAAGTGCTGAAGTAACCGGAAACGTCGAGCGGTTTCTTTTCGTTTCAGTCTGGTATGTTTCCATTTATTAAATCAGAAAATTGTGTGCTTGTTGTAACTATATTTGATATATACAAGGGTCATTTATGTGCATTCAATGCGCTATTATCGATAAATAAGGCAAAACTCTCAAAAACGTTCTTATAATTTCAGCTCCATCAAAAATGTATTTTGCGACTTTTCACAATATGCGCCATTATCTTTGGAAATGTTGTAAATACGCTTTTTAATATTTGGAAATGTTTAGTAGTGGAACGATTTTTTTTTTTAGGGTTTTGACTATTGATGCCTGTGACACAAATTTAGTGCGCATTTTTTCTATAGACTCTAGCGCGAAAACGGCTCTAACAATATCGATGAAACTTTCCTATAATGTTCTAAAATTGTCCTTTCAATTTTCTTACATGGACTAAATTCACGGAAAAAATCAAGAAAAAAGTTATAAAGAAAAGAAAAATATTTTGGGCCTTAACTTTTACCTATACCTCTAGTTTTAACAGAAATTATTGTTTGACAAAATTAAGCTATGGCAAAAAGTTTTTGATCTGCAATATTAGAGAGTATTGAAATTTTTGCACTGATCTACCTTAAGCCGGTTTACATTGCTTTAGTTTAACAAATAAATCGTACTTAAATCTTTTCATTGATCAATTTTCAGGAAAATAAATCTAAGTCAATTTTTTTTTGTTTCTTGATCGACATACGTGAAGATATGAAAACTTTTCTGAAATAGTTTGGAAAGTCGTGTGAGTGGACACACCAGATTTTTAATATATTAAATTGGTTTATTTTTAGACGATTGAAAAAAATATCGAACCCTTGTTTCAAAACGTTTTAGACGATATCGAAAGGAAAATATCGATATAGATAGTATCGCAACATCCTTAATTTCGAGCATTGTCTCCGAGTTACCCGAGTGTAACCTCTCTTTTTATCAATCGCGATTTACGACTTCCACAAAATTCCGAGAGTTCGTCTCCAGATTGGTCATTTCAAACACCCTCTGAATTCTATGCACAGTGTGACAAAGAGATCTTGCGCCCACTTATCATAAAGGAGTTACAACTACGAAGTATCACCAAAATTCAGATCCCAGGACTTGTCAATAAACGAAAATTATTTTATATTATTATTATTATTCTTAATTGAGAACCTACATGATTTTATATGCACATAATTATCATAAAATAGTAAATAAATTAAAAGAATAAGTTGTAAAAACCAGAAGAAATGTTGTATCCAAGGTTATAAGTGATTCTTCTGGTACCCCCTGTTTTCTTCTTGAACTACTTCAGAAAGTGTAACAGGAAGTTTTTCTCAGTAAGAAGGATTACCATCATCGCTTCCCACATTCATATCGAGTACACATTTTCTCTATAGAATTCAGGTCACATGCGTCCTGAGCTTAACAGAAAATAAATATAATTATTTTATCAGTTTTTTTATAACTGCTTGTCTGGTTGACAATATATTTTTTTATTTAATTTAAGAAATTTACGCTCTCTCATATATATATATATATATATATATATATATATATATATATATATATATATATATATATATTGTATTAATTAACATTTAAACATTGTTGGTAATTTTTTGCAATGTGCTTCGATTACAATAGCATTTACTATTAGATCTTTATTGTTGTAGTTTATCATTTTAGAAACACTTTTTCGATTTCAGTTTAATGATTAAGTGACATACATCCATATTGGACTAACTATATAACTCCCTGAGACTTTTAGGCTTTTGTCGTCATCAGATGTTTAAATCAATGTTTAAAAGTTTTTTTTTAATTTATGATAATCTGTAAGACGGATGCCAGGAAAATAATAAATAATTACTGAGTTTTTACGAGTATATTATGTTCAACAATATACGTATTATGTTCAACAAGCATGGAACTATATAAGCTAACGTACTAACTACACTAATATAATAACATTACATAACAATAAATATAATAGAACTCAATAATAAACAATCTATAAAAATAATGTACGTATAAATAACTAAAATAACAATAACAACATGCGCATGCTAGCTAGATAAATTTCTATATAATGATACTTAATAGTTAGCTCGAGAAATAAATATGGTAAAATAATAACACAGGCAATAAATAGTCCAATTTCCAACCAGACGTCAGCCTCCAGAAGGAACCGTATTCTTCGACGTCCTAGCAAGATATCCCCACTGAAAAGAAACAACAATATAATTTGTCTATGTCAATCGATTCATAGGGTCGATAGGAAATCGATAAAGATGATGACCCCTCATTACTGAACTACACGAGGTAATTCAGTTTGCACGTGAAAGATATCAGTAAATGTGTTACCTGCTCATGGGGATTTATCCTAATAATGGTGTATTCTTCTATAGGCTTCTTTATCAAATAATGCAGTACTAACATGAGAGACATTCACTCGTGCTAACTCTCACCATTTTCCGAACCTTCCTGCGGTTTCCTCAGTTCTGTGTTGCCACCAATCAGTTCGCAGGTCCAATCCTCCAATATAGGCCCCCCCCTCACATAATACAATGAAGGAAAAAGCTAATATTTACATTATAAGTTTAAGGAAATGCAATAGTTGAACCATGGCAGAATATAAATAGTATTCATAAATAGATAACTTGCAAAATATATGTAATAAACCTTGGTGTATCAAACATTATTCAATGGAAGTTGTTCTCTTAATGTATTAAAATCAAATATAATTATTAGGTTTGTGCGGTGTATTCGCACGGGTCAGCTAATGTTTTTATAATGACCAATGGAGAACAAAAAAAAATATTAAATAAATTCTATATAATTTATATATAAGGATAACACTGTATTTAGAGTTGATTCTGGCATTATAGATAAGAGTTCAACAAAACATTTCTGATGATTTGGTTTTCGAAACTACAATTTTGAATAATAGCTCATTACAAAGATAATAAACATTTCCCTCAATGACAATATGCAGATCCGAATTTTAGTTTTTTGAGATATTTTAATCCATATGGGAAAACGCTTCAATTAGTTGACCTCAACCGAGCGTTACACATCGGAGATCTGACGAATTTATCTAATTCACTATCCAAAGAAAAAAAAAACCGTGCCTAAAAAAGTTTTCACTTGAAAAATCTTTCAAATAAAAGGTATGTTTTTCGTGTAACCGCCCATATAAAGTAAGAATCGATACTTTACAGTATCGAGATTCCATGTGAGAACCCAAGAGAATAGAGGAATCCATCCAAGTTGGCAGAAGTGACGGCAGTAAACTTATTGGTATGTCGAGGAGGCGTTGTGTACCAACACAAATCGGAGGTGGTTTCTTAATCAATTGGTAAGCGTCCAGCAACTCCACGCGGACGGAATGCTGATGTTCTCTTGATGCACTTGATAGTTCTCCAGTGTGCGCATTAGTGTTCTTCGTATTCCTCCAGGTCGGTTCTGGAACCGTTGTTTTTCTTCTTCTTTGGAAGTCCTTACTCTTGTCAATTTCTGGTCGGTTTGCTACCATTTTTAGAAAATTGTCCTGATTTATATTCGAAAAACGTATTTTCAATCGATTCGTAAAGGCGTCCTCATAAAGGAATACAATACTGCATTGCAAATGTTTCTACGCGACAAATGAGCGCGAGTTCTCATGGTCACACTATAAACGGAATTCCGATAATGGTCGAGTGTGTCCTAAAATAAATGGAAGGGACTCTGGTAAAGCGGACCTTAGACGGTCAGTCGGAATGGCATTTTTTGGTACTATTAATATTCTGATTGAACGTGTATGATTATGATTGAAGTACTGAAGGATGTGACTGATAGATTTCCGTAAATCATGCTTCAATCACTAGAAGATAAGAGGAGACTAAGATAAACGTTACCCATCATGGTGGGGAGATTAACCTTACTACTAGATAGGTTAGTTTACCTAGGCCTTATAACCTTTGTATATTCCTGATTTTCATTTCAAATAAATAGTTTTTGATATCCCTAGTTCATTTTTACTTTCCTTCCTGTACTAGGTAAAGAAAGTATTGCAATCGGGTCAAATTTCCGATATGCGGTTTTCGACGGATCTTTACCTTTCAGGGCACGCTGAGTTCGAAAAACACATTTTTAGCCATTGGTCTGTCTGTGCCAAAATTTTCTCATTTTTTTTTTTTTTTTTTAATGAATCATGTAGCCTTAATATTAATGCCCTTCAATGTGGCAGAATGTATTAATATACAATAAAGAAAGTTAAAAAAAAAAAAATTATTTATTTATTTAGACATATAATATTCTGTCACGGGGACAATAATTATATTGATAAATGAACACATTCACACCGTATATAGAAAAAAATTAAATTAAATTAACAAAAGTAAAATAATAACTAAATAATAATAAATAAAAACTATATACGATAAAAAAAAAAAATAACCTAAATATAAGTAATCTCGGGAACTAGAGAACCGATTTTGTTGTTTTTTTTTTTATTTTGTAGGGTTTTAACTGCTGATGCCTGTGACAGAAATTGGGTGCTCCATGGGCAATAGCTCCATGCGCAATAAAGTAAAAATATGTTTTTCTATAGACTGTAGGTTAGACTGAAGGCGGGAAATGCTTGTTATTTTTCTGTGACAAAACTACTTAGTTCGCGCCTCTTGTCCCGGAACTTAAAAATTAGAATCTATAAAACAATTATCTTGTCTATAGTTATTTATGGATGCGAAACTTGGCCGCTTACATTAAGGGATGAGCAGCGTCTTAAGGTCTTTGAAAATAAAGTATTGCGTAGAAAATTCGGACCGAAGAAGGATGAGTTAACCGGAGAGTTCAGACGGCTACACAACGCCGAATTGCGTGAGCTGTATCCGGGTAATATAATTGATGTAATTTCATCGCGGCGAATCAAATGGGCTTGTAAAGTTGTTGGGCTTATTAACGAGAGAATTCCTAAAAGGTTAATATTTGCTGTGCCGAATGGTAAGCGTCCGAGGGGTAGACCGAAGCGAAGGTGGGAAGATTGCATTAAAGCCGATCTGAAGGGACTGGGTTTGGACGGCGAACGGTGGAGGGAGGTGTCGGCATCGAACCTTCGGGTTCGCTAAGCTTTATTATTATTATTATTATTATAGACTGTAGCACGAAAACAGCTCTAACGATTTTGTGCATTTGCTCTAACTTTTCTTTGATCGATTTTCAGGAAAATAAATCTAATTCATTTTTTTTTTGTTTCTCGATGTTCATATGTAAAGATATAAATACTTTTCTGAAATAGGTAGGAAAGTCTTGTGAGTGGACACACCAGATTTCTTTATAAACGATCTTCAACTATTTTTTAAAAAAATAGTCAAGTGGTAATTGACTTTTTTTATTTTTTTTATTGTTGTCAAAACGTTGTTCAGGCAACATGATGTGATTATTATATCTCCACTTTTCTTTTAATGTCCAATGACAATGGCCAAATAAGCTTTTTTAATGAAATATTATTATTAATGAACAATACACCAAATCCATATTGCCTGTTTTTAGCTGAGAGTCAGTCTGATTGATACGCGAAGGGTTTATCACGATTGAAACAATCCTTGTCAGTCTTTTTCTCGAGAATGAAAATTAAAAAGAATTTAAAGGAATATAAATTAGTCTAATTGTATCAAAATCCTTTTAGCAGTTTAGGCGATCAGGGGTGTCTATCCTCCCTAAAAGTCGATGGAGCATACGTCCCTTCCCAAGAAAATTTATCGCTCTCTAATTCTTGATAACACATTGCAAACGATAGTAGAATTAGTTTCGTGTTTTTATTCTTATTCCCTGCTTTAAACCTTCCTTTTAATTTAATACCTCCCCCAAATATTCATAATGTCATTAAAATAAATTAAATAATGCTCCCATCCTCAAAAAATAAAGAATCTATAAAAATGTGCCTCGTTTTAAAAATTTTGATTAGTCAATTTGCACCATCCTTCTGCAAACTTCGGTTATACATCATAGCCATTTTAACCATTTTTTTTTTAGTCTGAAAAAACGAATTTAATTCAATTTAATGTACTACCAGAAGTGAAGATACCCTTGTCATCGATCGTCATACATCGAACTCTACCACAACCAGAGCGCTGTGGTTTAGCGGCAGCTGGACGCAGCTGGTCTGGTGTTTATACCCTATGTGTATATCTGTGTGCATACCAACGGCTATTATTGGTCCTCTTACCGAGTGGATTGGACCAATGGGGTAATTTAATGTCGTGGTCCATTCAGGTTCAGCCATCTTCGAGGTGATTAATTGGTCTACATTGTGGAACATTCTTGTGTGGGAACTTTCAAAGTCGCCGTGTCCTCAGTCAATGTTAAAGGAAGAATCTTCATGTAAAATAAAAAAGTTAACATATCCTAAACTTTTTTATTTGTTTTTATGATATTTAAAACTGTATACAAAAAATACATCTAGTAAATTCGCACATGGATATAATGACATGAAACACATGTTGAGAAACTATCAATTGATAGCACTCTAACAATTAGGAGATCACGTGCCCATCTTCTTTTCAGACGCCTCGGGGGGTTATCAGGAATTGAATAGGAAGCAAGGTTAGAAACAAGAGGGTTGGGATGGTTATGAAGTTTATTATGGAAAGACAGATATCTGGATTGGGCCAAATCTGATACATGAGGAACATTAAGGTCATTATGGATGATTTTATTTGTAACAAAGAAAGGAGCATTGAGGATTTTGGATTGTAAGGATTGGATACGAGAGGAATTTGAAGGTTTGGTGGAGCCCCATAGCTCAACTCCGTAAGTCCAAATAGGCCTTATTGTAGTCATGTATATGAGTATTTTGTAATTAATTGGAAGGTTAGAGCGTTTGTCTAATAAGTGTTGAAGTAGTCGGAAACGTCGAGCGGTTTCTTGTCATTTCAGTCTGGTATGAGGATTCCAAGTTAGACGTTTGTCCAGATCCTAGGTAACTATCCTAAACCAAAATCATTTTTAAATATTTAATAGTTGACCTTTGCATTATAAAGGAAGGAGATGATCCGGGTGGCGGTCATAAATATGCTTAACAGTGCAAAACTATTTTATAAAAAGCCAACGTTTCGACCCGACTTTGCAGGTCTTCTTCAGGGCTAGAACGGATAACATAAAACAGATAGAGAATTGTGGAAGTTACATATTATGATGACAAAAAATTATGAACAATGTGAATAAGCTTATTAAAATTATAAACAGTAAGTACATTAAAATATAAACAGAATGAGCTAAGTAACAAGATCCTAAACTGAAGTAAATAGATGCTAACAATAGTTGTAGTGTAATATGTAATATATGCAAATGTGAATATACTTCTACAGATCTACAGGAGAGATTGCATAAAAGGAAAAAGGATATAAAGAAAGAAAAGATTTTTGTTTTTTTTCATTCTTTTCTTTCTCCACATTCCTTTATGTCTATTATTTCATATTATATCCTTTTTCCTTTTCTTTCAATCTCTCCTTTAGATCTGTAGAAGTATATTCACATTTGCATATATTATATATTACACTACAACTATTGTTACCATCTATTTACTTCAGTTTAGGATCTTGTTACTTAGCTTACTCTGTTTATATTTATGTACTACGTTATAATTAAAGCTTATTCACATTGTTTATAATTTTTTGTCATAATATTATGTAACTTCCACAATTCTCTATATTTTGTATCTTGTCCGTTCTAGCCCTGAAGAAGACCTGCAAAGTCGGGTCGAAACGTTGGCTTTTAATAAAATAGTTTTGTCACTATTCAGCCTATTTATTTAGGACCATCTTCTTCCTTTAAAATTATTTTTCTGTTTTTCTACTTTTAATTAATTGTATTTAATAAATAAAAAAAAATTGTCAATAATTTCCTTTTCTGCATTTAAGATATTTCTATAAGAGTGTTACCAATGATTAGTTTCTCACAAGTCTTTTCATGTCATTTGTCTCTGTGTTACATATACCAGCTTTTTTTTTTTTAAATTCTAATACAGTTATAAATTCCATAATTAAAAAAAAAAAAAATCTTTTTTCATCATCTTGTGGTATCATTTAGGTGGTAGATAAATATAATGTTACTTATTAAATTAAAGTGAATTTTTCCAAATATGATGAAATCCTTAAGGATAGGTAAAGGATAATACTCGCTGCGGCAGGACGAATCCTGGGATCCTTAGGCTGGCGGAGCCCGGCCTGTGTGGGCGGTATTACCATAACCTGTATTTGCTCTCGCTCTATCCTCTTCCCTCGGGATAGGGGGATAAGGCTTATCTCTCTGCTCTGTCTCCTGATCACCAGTACCTACTGTACATCATATCTTCAGGATTATTTTCCTTAGTCAAAGGCTTCCATCATATTTTTTGCATTCGTTTTTGCTTTATAATCTCCAGAAAAAAATATACAATAGCCAAATTAGTATACAGGCATCGTTGGCAAAAAATCTACAAATATAGTTCTTTAATGCTTGAGTAAATTAAACTGAATTTTAAAATCATCTAGCGACTGCTCCAACACTTACTAGACAAACACTCTAAACTTTCAATTAATTACAAAAGACTCATCTACTTAATCTGGACATACGGAGTTGAGCTTTAGGGTTCTTCTAAATCATCGAATTCCTATCGTGTCCAATCCTTACAATCCAAAATCCTTCGTAAAATCGTTTGCTTCTTCCTCGATTCCTGAGATTATTCCCCTAGATGTCTGAAAAGAAGATGGCTACGTGATCTTCACAACTAGAATTAAATAGTAAGTGCTACCACTGGGCAGTATCTCTTCAAGTCTGTTCATGTCATGATTTCTAATGTGAGCATTTTTACTAGTTCTATTGTTTATACAGTTGTAAATTTCATTAAATAAATAAAATAAAATAAAAAAAATCATCACGACTTGTCATGAAAAAAATTGTCACATTTTCTGTCTTTTAATTATTATTTGTTTTCCTATATTATATTAAAACAATAACGAGTGTAGAAAGCTTTCAAATATAAAAAAATAACACGATTTCATAGATACGTTGGATTAAAACATCTAAAATTTGTGTTTTAAGTCCTAAAACGTACCGGTTTTAAAAATAATCTTTTTATCTTTTCAAAAGCTTCTTAAATGCCACAGTTGACATAGGATACTCATGATGACTTAAGGTTTATTATAGATTAAAATATTGTTATCTCTTTTATAATATTGTTATTAGTGTTGCCCAAAATTGGTCTTGGTCTTGCACTTTGCAAGACCAAGACTAAGGACACGTAACTGTTGCAAGAACAAGACCATGACTAGTAAAAAAACTCGATTTTTTTAATAAAAATTAAGGCCAAATAATTACTAATACTTGATAATTTTACTAACTATATGTAAATAATTGATATAACTAATATACTTTGGCATTTAACTCCTCTAATTTTTCAATCGGGCTTAGTTAGGTTTCTCCTATCAAAACAAATACAGTAATATCTCTATAGTAATAAGATAATAAGTAACAGCAAGACTGTTTCGAGACTCTTGCACAAGTCCAAGACTATGAACAAGACTGAGTTTGCAAGACCAAGACTCGTCTCAGTCTCGCATTTGGGTAACACTAATTGTTATATCGTAGTCTACGATAAACTAGAGTAAAGACACCAATTGACACTTGTAACTTAAACTTGATAAAATAAGCGTTAGAAAAAAATATATAGTCATCATTCCTGTTTCTTATAGAATGTAGTGAATAGTACAGGAAAATATCGATGCTTTGATAATATTGACTATCGATCCCTGTTCCTAAGTAGAGGTGACTATCGCATGGGACCCTTTTCGCTTAAATTTGTTAATGAAAACGTTCGCAAATAAATTAGCTCTGAATCCGATCTATTTATGAATGGAAGGCGTAGTAGAATGAATGGAAATTTCTGAAAAAAAACTAAGGATGACGAAGATGAACAGGAACTAGAAAATTAATTTGACTTAAGGAGAAGACGAATTGATGTTTTCATTAATTAATTTAAAGAGGAAAATAAAATATTTATTTATGTGGCTATGTCTTAGAGAATAAATATTCATACATCAAAGATGTTTATAATTCGATATTAATATCAACTATCGATATTTCAAATTCGATATTTTGATATTATCGATTATCGATTGTCGATAGGTCGGTATTAATATCTATATTGAGCCTTCGATATGTCATACTTACTTTACGATATAAATATATTGAAATGAAAATTCGGAAAATAAAGTAAGAAAATTTATATTTTTAATAAAAATAAATACGTTTTTCGGACATAATTTAATCTTCTTTTTATATATTATTAGTTTTTCTAATTTACACCTACTCAATAAGTATCAAAGATTTTGTACTGGTACTGCGTTGTTACAGGGTTAGTATTTGTTTAATAATGGTGCATTACTTAACTAGTGTTACCCAAAATCGGTCTTTGTCTTGAACTGTGCACAGCCTAACTGTTGCAAGAACAAGACCGGTAAAAAAAATCGATTATGTGAATAAAAAATAAGGCAAAATAGTTACTAATAGTTGACAATTTTAGTTACTATATGTAAAGAATTGGTTTAACCAATATACTTTTGCATTTAACTCTTCTAATTTTTAATTCGGGCTTAGGTTTATCCTATCTGTATTTGTATTTTCTTTTGTATTAATTCATCATTGTTATTTTAAGGGAACTTAGTCACAGAATAAAGTTCAATTTTCTATTTTATCTGAAAAATATCTCTATAGTAATAAGCTAATTGAAAAGTACAAGACTATTGCGCAAGGCCAAGACCAAGAGGAAGATGGAATGCGCAAAACCAAGACGAGTCTTGGTCTTGCATTTGGGCAATACTATACTTAACTGAATATTATTTTCGTTTAAAGCAAGGAAATAACTAATTTAGTAGATAAAATAACCAATAAAGTATGGGATTTATCCAATTTTGTATCTTTACTAGATTTTCATGACAATAATATATTTTGTATAATGAATGAAAACATCGATGATATTTAAAACTACTAGTACTTGTACTATATGTGTTCATACAAACAGGTATATATATATATATATATATATATATATATATATAAATTTTGATTTAAAAGAGGAGATGACATTTATAAATAAAAGCTTGCTAGGTGCAAAGACAGGATTGAGTAGGGATCCTGAGTCCTTGGTGTCGCCCACGCAGCATTCTTGCTCGGTGGATATGTTCCTTTATATAATGCCTTCGACAGCCTCCATATCCTGTTTGCAACATATCCTGAGCGAAATTT